TGTTTTGCTCTCTTAATTTATATATATATATATATATATATATATATATATATATATATATAATAAAAAAAAGTAAACCTTTAAACACATCATTTTTATTACTGTACATTATAAATGTCGTGATGGCCAAATTCCCCTTTAAGCATGTAAAACTAATTTTTGCGTTTAGTGTTTTATTTTTTAATTTAGACATAAATGTAACATCTGATATTTAATATGTAATCATAATACGTACATCCGTAAAAAAAACAATATTCTGCATCATGAACTCTTAATATTTAAATGGAACTATTAACATAGGAATGACAATTGACAAAAATGCCTGTGAGTTGATCATATCTGTGGGTGAAGAAATCAAGAGACTGACTAACAATGACAATGTTTAAGCTTGCTCTGTGCTGCATTTCATCAAAACAGAATGAATTCTCATACTTGATTACAACATCCTGCTTATTTCATTTCTACTTTCAAGATATGGAACAAAGCAAAAAGCTTATTGTGCACTTTATAACAGCTTTTAGGTGAAATCCTTATGCTGAATTTTCCAGGAGCCATCTTAATTTGCCAAAGAATTCAAGTAGCATCGAGAATCCCTGAACACGCTAAACAAATGTTTAGGAAATGAAATTTAAGCAAAGTTGTAAACTAACCTTGCCACCTCCAAATGTGATGTCATAGCTACCAATGATGGAATTGGCAACCATAAGTGGCACAATATCAGGGCTGGCAGCTCCAGCTCCCTCTACAGCAATAGCAATGTGTGCTAGAGGCATTGCATCATCACGCATACGAATCTGAAAGCAAGACAAGATCAGACCAACAGAAAGTAAATCAACTGGTCAAGTAATGGCAATAAACAAACCCTCTCATACACACATGCAATTAATAAAGCTACCTCACTCCCAGTGAAACGGCATGGGGACAGAACAGGTACAGCATCACCTTCATATTCAAAAGAAACACCACTGAAATGCTGCTTAGCCAGAGCCACAAGCTCATCATGGTTTACTCCTGCAGCAGAACAGAAAGACAGTGTTTAAGCAATCAACTCAGCTTTGTGTGGGTTTTCTATTTAAACACTACTGTATGACAAGTTTGATAACAGTTCAAGAGCAGTACCTCCAGCTGTAGCCAGGACCATGCGAGGAGCTTTATAATGGCTATTGATGTATTCCACTAAATCATTACGAGTTAGTATCCTTGAAAATACAAAGAGCAAAAAAAATAAAATAAATTCCATTAAATTCTTTAGGAACAGGTTTCATTAGGTATGTTTGCATTTACACAAATTTTCATCAATGAGAATTAATCCAATCCAGTTTCAGTTTTCGAAAGTTCTGTTGTGATTTTCTGGATTTTTTCCCCCTCATTTTGTCTCTCATAGTTGAGGTATACCTATGATGAAAATTACAGGCCTCTCTCATCTTTTTAAGTGGGAGAACTTGCACAACTGGTGGCTGACTAAATACTTTTTTTCCCCACTGTAAATCCTAAACTTTGCAATGCAATTCACATTTTTATTTAAATGTGCACTTACGTATGCCGAACAAAATGTCAGCATATCCACAATGCAAGCATATGAATCATATTAAATTATCTCAAGGCTATGTGTGTACCTGGCATTGGCAGAGGGACCAAGAACACTATGGCCCAGAGGAGTACCCTGGAAGGCAGTAGCATGGAGCAGATCCAGGCAAACATCCTGCAAGCTACCTTGCACCTCTTCCAGCTCTCTTAGCACCACACTCCTCTGCTGCTCTATATCAGCCTCACTCAAAGATGAGCTCTGCACTACTTCTGCCAAGAGCTCCACCGCTAAAAAGAATACAATAAAGAGATGACATTACTAAGAAAGAGTAACACTTCCGGATTATTCAGAGAAAGACTACATGTTCTATGCCAACATGACATACTCCATTCTAGAGCTCATCTAGATCTATCAGGTCATTTATCTATCCACATTAGCATGAAGAAACTGCGCCTGTTTGAAAAATTGGCCTCTCTTTTTTGTTTGTTGTATAACCTTTAGGCAAGTCCTTGGCAAGGGTCTTCATATAGTAAGCAGTACGTTCCCGTGAGGTGTATGCACTCAAGTGAGCTCCCATAGACTCCACTGCATGTTCAAGAGCGGACTGTGGGTGCTTCTTTGTGCCCTTGATCCAAGAACAGTTTGGAATAAAAAGTGTGCAAATTAGTGAAACAACATTACAATTTTTAAATTGCTTTCACACTACAAGCCTACAGCCAATTCCAATTAACAATATTCATGTTTTTCTTACTATAAACAGATTAAGCATTTTACATCAGGTGCTCGTATGAAGTCCTAGAATTCAATAATCATTGCAAATGTCATCAAAACCTGACCTCAGATTTCCCACTATGTAAAACACTCAGGGTGCATTTCCACTTCACTTTTAGACACACACTAGTAAGCTTCCCTAAGCACTTCCTCTGTGGGAATCCCTGCAGGATGCGTACATCCATCCATCAATGAGATGAAGGGACATAAGTGAGGGGAGGGCATAAAAAAGCAAAGTGAAACACACCCTAATAAGCAAAATACAAAGGTCAAAAGATGATATTTTGAAGAATGTTGGGAAAGAAGCAATTGCCAGTAGCCATTTACTTCCACCGTATGGAAAAAGTCAACTGCTACCAGCAACAGTTTGGTTACTAACGTTGTTCAAAATATATTCTTTTGTACCCAGCAGAAGAAACAAACTCATACAGGTTTGGAACAAGTAAAGGGTGAGTAAAAATACATAATTTTCATCTTTGGGTGAACTATAATTTAAGTTTACGATACGGTGCATTTTTATTACATTTGAACTGTAAACATTTTTTTGATTGGTAACAATCAAGATCTAATATGATGTTAAGATAATATAATTCTTCAAGTCATATCATGACATGATCATTAGGCAGTAATACCCAGCCCTAGTAACAATGTTTTAGAGAGAATGAAACCAAGTAAAGGTTTATTGCTTACTTTAAAGGCCATATGCTCCAGGAAAAATCCAGCTCCATTATTCTTCTCAGACTCATATCTGCTCCCACAATCTATCCAAAGGCCAACCTACAAAGCCAGACAGATGAAAAGCAGAAGAATTACATCAGCAGTTCAGGTTGATTTCCTTTTGAGTTTCCTTTTGGATAAACATTTGGAAATGGAAAAATTAAAGTACAGTTCTTCAGGCTTTTTTCAAGTCCTGTTATTTTTGACATGCATAAAACATTTACTTTATTTAACTTTTTTTTTTTTTTAACCAAATTAAAAATGTTATATTTCAGGTACTTATATTTCATTGCAACAACTTTAGAGTGCTAGAAAGTGTGAGGACCTTACAATTCCCTCAATGAGAATTAAAATCACAACTGCAAAAAATAAATAAATAAAATTGATTTTTACAGTCTAAAAACAGCTATTTACCGTGCATGTGGCTTGGTTGGTCTCTTCAGAGGCAATCCTCAAGCCATTGCTTAGAGAAGTTAGCCGTGTTTCTGGAGCTCCTAGCAGGCTCTGAGCATATGACACAGAGGCCTGTCCTCGTCTCAGAGACAGCAGAAGAGGCTAAAATAATGAAAAATGGCTGCAATATAACAAAGAGTGAAAAATTTAAGGGGGTCTGAATATTTTCCGTACCCACTGTAAGTATATGGTGAAAGTTCCTTGTATTAATATTAAAAGCAAACCAAAAATCACAGACTAACTCAATGATATAGACAAAAGGCTGACCGATAAGACAAGATCTGAATAAAGTGGTTGATTTGACCCAGTAGCCAGAGATATTTTTTATGTTTTTTTAATAAGTCATATATTGTAAAAAATATTACAACAACATAACTTAACTGTTTTATATATTGTTGTGATAGCAATGCTTTTCAGCAGTAAACACTGCTAATAGGAATTAGTACGGTGGCCGAGAGCTGAACGTGCTGCAAATACAAAACCATCCGCAAGTTAAGAAAACATCTTCATCAGTTTGACAACACATGTACTACATATACTCTCAACACAACCAAACACAGAAACGCACTGCAAATACTCACAACACAACCAAACACAGAAACGCGCAGCAAATATGCACAGACCATATCGGAAAAGCCACAAGTGATGAACCTGGCTTTGACATGCTTATCAATGTCTACTCTGAAAGGTGAGATTTTTGTTTATTTTAACATCCTGATCATATGATTCCTTGGCTTTTTTGTATACTATTAGCCTAAATAAGCTGACGAAATACACAATTACTGTAACTGTGAAATGTTATGTAAGCTGGCTAACTTATTTACATTTATTTTACAACTTCCCTTACAAAAATTGACCATGGTTTTACTATTTAACTAACCACTAGGGGTGCAACGGTTCAACTTACTCACGGTTTTAGAGTCACGGTTTCGGTACGGTTCGGTATGTGCTAGGTTTAGGGAAAAAACTACATTGTCAAATAAAAATAAAGAAAATAACAAATAATCTAACTACAAGCAACAGCACAAATAAATGAACAGTGAAAAAAGATACAAATAAAATAAACAGAGCTTTTCAGTTTTTTTGGGTAGGTCTAACATAGTTTTTAGGTACAGAAATGTAATAAATCAAATGTAAAATAACATTGCATATTTGACTGTATAAATTAAAGATTAATCCTTGTTAAAGTTACAAAAGTTATTCAATCAAGAGCAGTGAGAGATTTCCATGTTGTTGCTGTTTGATTAACATTAAGAAAGTGCTGTCACTTTACTTTAAGAGAAGGCACTGATCCAGTGCACTGATACCAGAGCCCGACAGTAACTAAGTACATTTACTTGAGTATTGTACTTAAGTACACTTTTTGAGTATCTGTACTTTACTTGAGTATTATTTTTTCTGGGAACTTATTACTTTAACTTCACTACATTTGAAAGACAAATATTGTACTTTTCACT